CTTCCTTCCTTCCTTCCTTCCTTCCTTCCTTCCTTCCTTCCTTCCTTCCTTTTTGTTTTCTGTCCTATTTTGCTTGTGGGGAAAGCTGGACAGCCACCCGTTGAAAGAGAACGGGGCCATTATTATCCCCCCCACCCACCCACCCCTTTCCTCCTGCAGCTACCAGCCCTGACTCCTTGGCCTCCACCGTCTATTACGTGATCTTTTCCGAGAGCAGCTTTGTTGCTAAATGCCGCTCAACTGTGCTCTTCTGGTCCTCGCCACTTTCAAGAAAAGGGGGCGTGGGGTGCGGGGTGGGGGGGGTTGAAACCGGGACCACCGTAACCATGGCAGGCCGGGCCTCCCTTCTCCTAAAGCCGACGGTTCTGGTGGTTTTTGCAGAGCTCCGAATCCAGCCTCAGGAAGAAAATGATGAAGCGGAAGGGGAAAACGGAGAGCCCCTGGTTGAAACCCACCCGCAAGCGGAGGCGGAGAAATAAAAAGAAAAAAACCAACTTAATAGGTAACAGAGTTGGACTGCTGCTATTGTTGTTGTTATCGTCATCATCACCATCATCATCACCACCATCATCACCATCATCATCACTACTACTGCTGCTAAAGTGCTTCTTTACCCCAAGGGAAGAGGGCGGATGATGAAGGTCTCCAGGAGGATAGGTGTGGAGGTGCTGGTTGGCAGAACACCTGGAGCATACAAATCTCCTCCGGTCTTGGCTTGGAGCGAGACAACTTCTGTTCTGCGAGTCAGAGGTGGCCTTTTTGGTCCCTCGGTCTATGGGTTCGGTGGGCGTGGCTTGGTGGGTGTGGCAGGGGAAGGATCTTGCAAAATCCCCATACCTTCCCCACCCCACTAACCTGCTCTCCAGCTCCGTTCTCCTGTGCAGGGCAACCAAAGGAGAACCAGCCAATCAGCAGAGACTCAATGGGAGGCAGAGAAGAGATGGGGTTGGCGGGGCCAGTCAGAGGTGGGATTGGCTGGTTCTCCAAACGACCCAAAATTTCTGCTACCGGTTCTCCAGAACTGGTCCGAACCGGCTGAATCCCACCTCTGAGCTGCTCCCGTCGATATTTCTGTAGCTGTGTTGATGGGAGAAGCGACCAGTTGGGTTGGGTTGGGTTGGGTTGGGTTGGGTTGGGTTGGGTTGTCCTCCATCTTGGAAGTTCTCGTTCCGAGATGAGATGCTGGTGGTTTTGCTCATTCTTCCTCCAGGAGAAACTTGTGGTCTCTGAGACGATTCTGGACTACAGCCGAATACTAGGACCGCTTCTTAACGGCCCCCTCCACCCACAGGGGAGGCATGGAGGGGCCCACAGGTCAAGCGTCCCCACTCCCGCCAGAGGCTTTCTTGCTTTCTAAACTCTGGTTCCCGACCTCTTGCCCTCCCTGGTTGCTAAAGTATAATTTTATTTTTTGGAAGAGTGATAATTGTGCCCTTGTGGGGATTTTCGACCTTTCTGCCCTTCGCCCCAATGGCAGCAGGAGGGGGCAGAAAGAAGGGCCCAACCCCTCGGCTGGCCCTCGAGTGCCCTTTGCTTGTTCCCCATGGGGCGGGGGAGGTGAAGGGCCCTGGGCCTCTGTGTGTGTGTGTGTTGGAACCTGCGTGTGAGGGAGGTGGGAGTGCAAGTGGAGAAGAAGCCTGAACTGGTTTCCCACATGTTAGTTTTGATTAGTAGTTTTGATCTGCCTTGCTGAAGAGGGAGGCTGGGATCGGCCTGCCGCAGTCCCTGGTGCCTTCTGCTCCGGGGAGGGTTGGCTAGTCTGGTCTGGCTTGGGCTCTCCCAGGCTTTTGGCATCTGAGTAGGGTGAGCCAAGAGGAAACCAGCTCCCTCCCTCCCTCCCTCTTCCTCTTCCTCTTCTTCTTCTTCTTTTTCTCTTCCCTTCCTCCTTCCCTCCCATCCATCCTTCTCTTCCTTCCTTCCTCTTCCCTCCCTCCCATCCATTCTTCTTTTCCCTCGCTCCCTTCCTCTTCCTCTCTCTCTTCCCTCCCTCCTTTCCATCCTTCTTTCCCTTCCTTCCTTCCTTCCTTCCTTCCTTCCTTCCTTCCTT